TGATTCAACTACCACATATGTAAACTTGTTTGTTTATCTGTATACATAGAAAGCTCTCTGACAATGCATTGATATGATATGACATGATATGATATGTTAGATGATATGATATGACATATGATATGACATCACATGACATCACATGACATGACATGATATGATATGAAATCAATTAAGATGATATGATAGCTTGCAAAAGTAAATCAAAGTGTAAGCCTCTTTGTAGTTATTGGGAGGTTCCTAGAAGTTATATCTTACAAACACATTTTACAGTAATTCACCGTAATTTACATGAAAACAAGTAGTTTTTCTTTATGGACTGCATCACAAGTGCGCTGACACAGCAGGCTTTTGCAGACAAGTAAAACTTGAAGTGGACTGTAAGAGTCTCATTTAAGTTTTAAAACTTATTGAATCCATAAATCTCTCAGTTTTGAAACCGGTTCCAAAACTAGCAAAATAATCAAATCTGTTCATTTCGCAAAGCACTTTGACAAAAGTTTAATAAGTTAAAAGACAACTTTTCGAGGCTTCTGGACTCTTAAAGGGGGCTATTTGCTTCAGTTATTTACTCATAAACATTGTATAAAACTAAGTTGTCTTCAGTTGGTTGCCTATGGGTTGAAATTAGCAGATTTTTCCCTTTGAGACTCTCCACACGGACTGTTTTTCTTCTTACACACACACTAGCGGACATTAATGTACACGTCACAAGCCTACCATGGACCAAAACCCTGTCCAGCACCTACAGAGTCTGAGATTTTGAGCAGGATCTTTGCAGAAATGTTTCCAAAAAGTTGACATTTCTGACATAAAACAGCTCTAATCTGGCAGTAATGATGTCTCCGTGAGTGTCTGAGTCCTCGCAGTCTGATTTCCTGCTCTAATAGAGTCATTAAACACACTAGGCGAGCAGTGTGTGAGTCGTGCAGCTCTTTGGTGGCCGCTATGTCTCTGTAATGGCGGTGGACAGCCGGGGTGACATCATCCTCCATAATGGCGGGGGGGGCGGTTGAAGCCGCCTGGTGCGATGCTTCCCCTCCGCCTCCTGCTTCAAGTCTTTGGAGCCTGAGTAGACGCGTGTGATGCTGAGCAGGGCCTTGCACCGACTCAGACCACACCTCAAACGGCTCGGGGTCGCCGCACTGAAACCTCCATTTAGATCTGGACCCGGCACAACCCACCAAACCCAAAAGCGGCACCAGGCTCCAGCCAGCCGCAGCGCTAAAGACGTTTCCTCCCAGACTAAATTTGTGAACGCCCTCCCTCGCTTTCGCCCCCTTCACACTCCTCGCCGTCTTTAAGCGAGGGGGGGAATTGGTGCCAGGCGGGGAACAAAACCAGACTTCTCGATTTGTGAACGGGGCCATTAGTGATTTTATTTCTTCAATTGGGTCGCCCGCCCACCTACCATCCAACCAACCCCACCTCCACTGCACGCCAAACTTCCTGCTAAGAAACACTGAAACATATTATGTCCAATGGTTGCAGCCATATTGCATCACTCGGCGTCCCTCTGGTGCTTCGACATGCTGTTCCAATAAGTCGAATCATTCAGGAGAGTGAAGCCAACCTTTTATGATTTTACGGCTTCCTTCTCTCTTTAGGTTCCTGGGACTTTCTGGATGATTCCCAGAGCTTTTTATTCTGGAGACTTTTACAGCACAGGGGGAGCGGCCCGCTTTTCTGACTGATGTTCAGTCAATGTGTCGGAGCTGGTGAATCTCATTAACACTTAATTCTGAGTCAGCGCCGTCACCGTGACATCTGCGAAGCTTCATCATGAGTTATACCGCAGTGGGTCGTCAAAGGGTTCGATCGTAGATGCTGTCTCAGAGAAATCGTCTCTACGAGCACCTAATCTGTAACAGCATGTATGACTGAAGGAAAGTCAAGTCACACACAGTGAAGAGCTGGAAGATTTACCAGTCGATCCACGTGCCAACACTCAAAGGGTGTCTGGGCTGAACCTTAGAGACAGGGTTAGGAGTTTAGGCATCTAGAGGGAGCTCAGAGAAGAGCCATTGCTTCCTCATATTGGAAGTAGTCTGTTGATAAGGCGAAAGCATTTGATGAGGATGCCCGGAGGTAAGCCGAGAGCTCTCTAGAGAGATCACATATCCTACCATGACCTGGGAACACCTTGGGACCCCAGAGGAGGAGGAGGAGCTGGAAAGTGGCACCAACTCTCCCGCTTGACTCAAACATGAAGTTTAAGTATTTTTTTCAGGGTTTTAGTGTGGAGTCAGAGAGCCGCCTTGTTTGGACCGACATTTGGACACAAAAAAACCCCCAGAAAGATGAAGGATTCTGACTTGTGGATTATATATGTGTTGTAATAAATACATGCTGTTTAGAGTGGATACGAAGAGATGCCTTAACCCCACAAATTATGGCCAGAAAATTCTCATTTTTTTGGAGCTGAAATGTTTATTTCATTTACTACTGAAAACCAAACAAATCAAAATGTCCTCAATATTTAACAAATATATTTATTTATCTTGTTTGATACATTTGATGTTTTTGGAAACTGATAAACCACAAGAGGACATTTTTATCATTTATCGTACTGTATTAATCTGTTTTTTAGTAACTTGTTGATCATATTGTTTCATACAAGTATGTATCAAATATTATACAAAAGGCAGTAAAGGGCTACTGAGCCAGAATTTACATGCAAAGGGTGAAAAAATGAAGTGTCTCTCACATGTGCCAGAGATGAGGAATAACTAAGAGATAGAGGGGGACAAGGATGATCATTTTTTTGTGATTGTGTCCTGAGACACATAACAAATACAGACACAATTTTCAAGAATAGAGTTTAAAGTTGTCTCTACTAAGTCTTCCTTTTGGTCCTTATTTTCCACAGATCTTCCTCCAGCACCTGTTAGTGAACCGGTACTGATGACTGCACCTGCATGTGCTGATAAACTGGTCTATTACCATTCAAATCTTCATTAATATCACCAGCTGTAATATTGGCCTTCTCTGACATCATGACTAATGACTCTGTGACCATCTGTTGTATCGTCTTGTTGTGTTTTTATTGTGATCTTGCAGCAGATGCAGCTTTCAACACCTTCTCTGAGGTCACAGGAGGAGCAGCGTGCTGCAGGAGAACAGAGACCTCTACTGGTGGGGGATGAAAATGATGTTTGATTGTGCACATGAGAATGAGGGTATTGTGTATGTATTTGAGGCTTTTGGGTGTGTGAGACATGCAGAAATTTGTTATATGTGCTGACTTTTTGCAAAGATTATTAGTCTACTTTAGGATTATTAAGCAAATACTCCCAGCTGAACATTTGTGCATTTTTCTACAAAGTTTTAAAATGTTGCACTACAATATGTGTCCTTTTTGTGAGTGCGCATACAGTTAAGATATGCAAAGGTGAAGAAAGGTGAGAAAGGTGAAGCACACTGGGGTTGCAGAAGCTTGTTGGGCTATTCCTCTCAGAATGAATAAGAATTTTTCAAACATATACAAATTTAGGTTTGTAATAATTAGCATTTGCTAAGTTTTCATTAGAAATCATGTAGGTGCATGAAGCAAGAAGCTAAGTGCAAGATTTTCCTATAGCAATATCCACCTTTATACAACTTTTACTATTCCTTAAGACACAGTGTCGTATTATTCAATAAAAATATTTCCTGGACAACAGTATCCACATGCAAAATTTGCCTGTAAACAAATGTTTTTTTTTTCTTAGCAAAACGTGGGTGGAAAACCTTATGTGCAATAATGCATGTGCACAATGACGTGCAATTGTATATACAGTATGTGCCAAATTTCTGTATGCAGCAACATAAGTTCAGAAATAATGTGCATAACATATTTTGCAATAATGTTGTCAGGTGCAATAATATAAATGCACAGAATTTTCCATTGCAATAACAATAAAATTCTCATGTGCAATACTGTTTGCAAAACTTCTACATGCAGACTGGTATGTGCAAAATTTTTATGTATAATAATATACATGAAAACTTTAATAGGTCATAGTCTTTGTGCAAGATTGTCACATGCAATAATTTATGTGCAAAACTTTCATTTGGAGGCATATGTAGATGTAAAGCTCTCAGCAACATTATTTGCTTTGCAGGATTAGATACTCAAATTGTAAAAGGTGAATATAAGTTTTTATTGTTTTAAAGTGTAATATTTTACATTTTCAAAAGATTTTTTGTTTTTCTTTGAACATTGTTCACAAAACATATGTGTCTTGTACATTTTTGTGAAGTGTATCTCTACTGTCCTGTCCATGTGCAAATGATAACACTAATTTGATTCCATTGAAACGTTGAAAAGCCACAACAAGCTGGAAGAAACACTTGGACTCTCACGAAATTCTCCATCCCTGTACGACAAATAAAAGTGTATTTTTGCTTGGACTTTTATGATTTGTTTGATCTATTGTGAGACCGGTCCTCCCCGTGCCCCAGAGGCTGGTTTGATCTTGAGTATACTTTTCTTCTGGTTGACGGGACCAAACAGCCTCTATAAAAAGGCATGTTTAAAAAGCAGAACTGTTTGCTTGACATTTATCCCCCCTGCAAATAAATTGCGTGTCTGTGTCGCAGCTCTGGAGTCAAGGGTTATTGCTGCTCGCTGTCAGTCGTATTTAGCTCTCCACCAATAGGAACCCAGTGACCTCTGCATATTTTGCACTCAGCGGGGTCATCGGCCGCGTCCTGGGGGAGCCGTTCTGCTCTGCGTCTCCTCTCACGCTGGGAAGTGGAGTTCCCAAGCATTTCCCCCCAAACTGTGGACCAGAACAATCCCAAGTCGTCGTCCAATCGGGGGCCAGTTCGAGCAGCTCGCTCCGTGTGGACATGACGCATGGCGGGGACAATGGGAGGATACAGAGGCAGGCTGTATGGGTGCAGATACCCCCCTCTTTGTCATGACGACAGGGTAACATAGGTTATTTTACAGTATAGTGTGGATTTCCTGAACTTCATGCAGAGACACCTCGGTCCAGCTGTTGTTCCCCGTTAAAATGACGACCCAAACATGTCGCTCTAACACGGATAATATAGAAAATGTGTTTTCAGTGGAGCAGATCCACAGAAAGTCACGCTACAAGCTGACCAGAACCGAGCGTTTTCCTGCTCTATGTGTGTCAGGACATCTGTTGAAATCATAGCAGGACCCTGTCCCCGTCCTGTTTGCAGTTGCTGTGGCAACAGGACCAGCGCGCAGGAGGCAGAGCAGGGTTTGGTCCGAGCTCGCTGGGACTGAAGAGGAGGCGGCGGTTTGGACGGGATGGACTGCATTGAGTTCCAGGGCTTTCCAGAACCTCCCAGGGGCTTCATTAAAACAAAGGGAGGAGGAGGAGAAGGAGGAGGAGAGGGAGGAGGTGGGACTTCCTGCTGGAATGTTTCAGACCAACTATGACCCCGGAGGAACTGCAGCTTTTAATGTGGACTGAAAGTCTGCCGTCACACTTCGGCTGTATTTCACTCATCTTTAAAGTGAAGTATCAGGCAACAAGGTCCAAACAACCTGCTCTGTACTACACTGGGTTTTCAGTTTAAGCTTCACTCGAGTCACCGTCCATCTACTGGTTTATCATCTCTATGTAGAGTCAGTTTAAAAATCCAAAAGAGGGCGAACAAACATGTAAAATCTGTAAGTGCTGGATCAGATTTTAGTATCAGACATGTTTGAGCTTCCATCTGTCGCCCCGATCACTGAGGATTGTGTGTCTCTGCTCCGCTCTCCATCACACTTCAACTACTCAAAGCACAAGAACAACCCCGACTGATCTGATTCTTGAGCGAACAAATGCAGATGTTTTGTCAGATCTCTTTGCATGTCATAAAGATAATTATTTTACTTTTATATGTGTTGCAGACAGACAGAGGACAGATGAAAACACGAATGCTTTAAGGTCCCTGGATGTTTTTTCTAATAGTCGTGACCTCCAGACCGTTTACAGGGAGTGTCACTTTATTATGCCGCAAAGAAAAAAAACACATATGCACCAATATGGAAATAAAATCACCCAGGGAGGGGGAGCAGGACATAAAAAGTTCAGGGAAACCACTGAAGCAATAATAGGGGAGAAAAGAAACACAAGTTTGGATAGATGGATAAACGTGAAACAAAATCACTGCTGGCCAAAACCAAACTCTCCGAAATAGAGGAGTATTTGCTTAACCTACAGACACAAAGACTGCCACGGACGTCCGAAAATAAAACACAAAAGGTCAGGGACCCAAAGAGCTCAGACCAGAACAGAAACTAAAACTGGAGCCCTAGTCCCAATGAAAACATGAAGTGCCACAGTAAGACGCTCTCACTGTCTCTGAGGGTGAGACAATGAGTCAGCATGAAGCGCTGCAGCTCGAGGGTTTATATCAGCTGACCACACCTGGTCTCAATCGAGCCAATCAGGAGCTCACACACCTGATGATTCCCTCCTCCAACTCGAGGAAGGACCCGAGCAAATTTCCTTTGCAGAGACTAAACCTGAGAATAAAAACAGAATTTCTCTTGATTGAAATGAAATAACGAGTCAAAACTTGACACAAATACAAACTGATTTTCAACAGGTTAAATTTTTTAATGGTCGGTGGCTGATATCTAACGCCGCTATTAAGTTTATTTCCTTTTTTTAACGTATTAGATAAATTAGAAAATTTGTAACAATAAACACTTTTATTTTAGGAACACTGCAAACTAAAATTATCTTAGCAAGTAATTCTGTTTTAGATGGAATTTTAACAAATTTATAAAAGAGGAAAGATACATTGGACTGATATTTGTGTCAGAGTAAACATCTATCTATCTATCTATCTATCTATCTATCTATCTATCTATGTTTCTATCCATGTATCTATGTATCTATGTATCTATCTATGTATCTATGTATCTATGTATCTATCTATCTATCTATCTATCTATCTATCTATCTATCTATCTATCTATCTATCTATCTATCTAGGCTGCCTTATTTTACATCATAACAGAATCTAAATTCAACTCTAACCAGTAACTGTTTCGGATTTGATATGCTGTCATTGAGAATTGGAAAACTTGTGATTAAAGGGGATATTTCCGTTTCCACAGTGTCTGCAGACATGACCGCTCATTTTTGTAAACAGAAACCTGAACCAAACGCTGAAAACGACTCCAAATTCCCCAACTCACCAAGTTTTCATCACCGTTTTGCTGCTGAATCCAGAAATTTAGTGTCCGTGTTCAGGAATCCACAGATGATACGTCTGTGCCCTGAGACTGTGTGGGTGCACCAGGTGTTCACGTCAGGATTTGCATTTGCACATATTTCAACGATTTACAGTCGCAGGCGGTGATTGTATATTTGTTGAAATCTAATTCGTTATAGAGCATGACAGATGTTTATTAAAAAGCTCTGTGGGGTTCGGAAAGCATCTTTACGCCGCTTTATTCCCAAACAGAGAACAGAGGACGCCAGAAAAACATCAACACGGAAACAAATCCATGAGTCAGCGCCGATGAAGGACGATCATATCAACCTCGTGGGCATATTTAGGGTTATTTGTTGAAAGACAATATAATAAAACACAAAAGCTGATCTGAGTTCAATAATGATCAGAAGACAGAAAGAGACGGTGAGATGATGTGAGAGAGAAAAGGAGAACAACACCTGGTCTCTGAGTGAAGCTTTGCTGCAGCGTGTCTCTCTGCAGGAAACAATAGAGGAGTGTTCAGTCTGAAGAAACAGACCCACTCAGGAAGCAGCGTGGGACGACTACTTGGATCAGAAATTGTTTCTATCGGAGTGATTTACGTTTCCATTTGGAGGTGTTTGTTATGTCCACTACATTTCCTCTGGCCTCTGACTTGGACGAGATTCTTCCTCCACTTTTCGGTCTTTTTCTCTCTGAGTGCCAAGGTCGTCTACACCTGAGACCCCTTTAATAAGACGAGAGAACAAGAGATTTTCTCCTCTTTTCAAGATGGAGGCACCTGGACACAACGCTGTTAGCTTTTGTCTTGGAAATACTGGAAGTGATTTTTCTCAGAGAGTAAATATTGTCAGTAAAATAAACCAGAATTTAAAGCACAGCCTACAGTGATGTTAACAGCTGTGACTATCCACTGCCTCTGAACGGTTTTCTGTGATTTGTATCTCCGTTAGTGACTTGATATCGCAAATTTCAATCAAAACAGCGTCCTAGAATATTAATTTAATTTACCGTTTCTTTAAATATGTGATTTTGACCTCATCCTGTGTTTTTTTCCCCTTTGGGTACACAACAGTTACACGCCGCTCTGCAGCTATCATAGTGGAAAATATCAACACCACAACTCTTTTGAGAAGCACTTCAAAAAAACTCCCAAACAGCTGAACTGACAAGTTCAAAACAATATGCACTTTGTGTCAAACTGAATTAAAATATCACTGAAGGACTCCAAGTCTGAGCTGCCATCTACGAGCCAAGCATACAGGTGCAGTCAGTCAGACTGAAGTCAGATTCACAGAAGCTCTCCGAGCTGGAGTTGATCACTGCAGACCTGTAGACCTAAATATCATCCTGTTGGCATGTTCTGATCAGCTGAATGGCTGACTGTCATTTGGCCCATTTTTAAAAATTTATCTTGCATTTATTTGGAGAGGACAGGACAGAGGATATAGAGCAGGAGAAGGGAGAGAGAGTAAGTAATGATGTGTGGGAAAGAGGCCTCAGGTTGGAATCGAACCTGCTTGCATGAGGCATAACCTCCATATATGAGATAACTGCTTAGACTGTTAAGCTGGGGAACAATATTTTATGCAAACAGAACCTGAAACAGCGAAAGAGACTGAACTGGAACCCCTGAGAAGTGCAAATATTTTTACATTAACAGGAGATGACTGGGCTTTAGTGGAATAACTGCTGTTAGACGGTGATTGGACATTTCATAAAAGCACTTTGAATCTTTCTTAGTCTGTACAGATGTTATCCTGCAAAAGTGATGAAAATAACATTATCTTACTTAAAGCTGTTCTCTACGTCAAAGTCATGGTTTTAGATCACACTGGTGTAGAAGAGCAGCCTCTATTTAAATAATAAAAAAGTCAAGATCATAAAGCACATTTATTTGATTCCCAAATGAAGGTGCTGGTAAGAATTGCTTTGAATTTGTTGTATAGAATTAAAAAATATTTTGAAATGCAAAATAATGGAATTTTGCAGTTAACTATAAACTATGCGATTAATCACGATTTTCTATGCGATTAATCGCGATCAACCATGCAATTTATCACAATTATCTATGCGATTAAATATGGTTAACTTCTGAAATTATTCGATTGATCATGATTGAAAATCTTGTTTGACAGCCTTCGTTAAAACATGACTTTGTTAATTGTGTCCAACTGTCTAATCTTTCACTCCCTTCACTGCCGTTTGAGTATGTTGACATAAATGTCAACAGAAATATAAATGGAAGTATAAAACTCAGTTTGCGGGATTATCCATCCACAGCGGTTGAAAATTCGTATCCCTAAGTAGAAATGATCTTTAACTCAAACATCATAAGTATCTAATAGTGAAACAGTGTGTCTCTGTGATCACACACATTTTCCCTCCTAATGAAGTGTGTTACTCAACCCGCCATGTTTATCTTCCACCTGATTGATCCTTTATAAGGCGCTGATTACATCCTGCTAATTACACAATCAAGGCGAGGCAGAACACACACATACACACGCACATACTTTAAAGAACACACACGGGGTGCAAAGACACAAAGGAGGATGCACGCATGTACAAAACACACATCAGTGCATGAACACAAACATTATCTGTGCAAAGATAAACATACACACAACCAGGCATGAGTAGAAATACACACATTCTCGTCCTCTTTCTCACACCCACACGAACACACACACACACATTCCTGGACTGTGGCTCATGTGTGGTGTGTTTACATGCCGCCATCACTTCGTGGTCTGGCGTGAGGCATCGAAAGTGATCAGAAAGCGGACCAACAAAAAGCCGAGCCAAGCCGGAGAGTAAATAAGTAATAAATCTATCCCACATCAGCGGAACGGTTCTCTGTAAACACGCTCTTAAAAAGCTGGTGTGTTGTGGCGTCTCTGCGTGGAGGGCAAGATGGCCGACATTCCTGCTGCTCTCCACAAGAAAGAAAAAGCAATGAGAGTTTACAAGGGGTTTGGCCGGCCTCCTTTGGAGCATCTGGTGGCTTTAATCACAACAAAACATGATTAGTCAACGTCAGAGAGACGGAGAGGAGGCGAGATGGAGACTGATCCGTGGAAGAAACAACGTGTGAGAGGGAGGAAGAGCGGGTGTTGTGCCAAAACTTGTACCATGATAAAATGTGTTCCCCTGTGATCTTTACAGGAACGTTACAGTGAAGGGAAATGTGTTAACTAATGACGATTCATCTACTGTGGTTTCATTGATTTTAAAACGATTTAAAGGTGCAATG